CCTGTTTTCCCGGTTAGTGACTAAAAACAGCTCTTAAATGGGGTTTGTTTTCCTTTTCCCTTTTTTTAAATTTTAAAAATTAAATATTAAAAACTCAGAGAATGTGGTTGCTGATGCTCTTCTAGATGTTTTGTAGATGCATGGGGTCTTTGTAATGTGTTTTTTCATGTGCTGACCTTGGTTTTTTTTCAGTGGGTGAAATCTCGGCGAGCCCGAGTTTTCTCTACCGCCCTCTGACTGTAAAGGGGCGAGTCAGAGCCAAAAGTTGGAGAGGGTAGGGTGTACGAAAAATGTGAGTTAGGCAGTGGTTGACCCTTCGGTAACATGAGACGTTCAGGAAGGTATGGGTGTTGGTCTTGGGGTGCTCTATATACAAAACGGCCCGACAGTTTGCCTTTGTGGTCCCCCGGACCCCCCCTATTCTATGTGTCTCCTTTCTTTAAATTTGGAGGGTCTGTGTGGGTGGTACCCCGGAAAATGGGCTTTGGGGCCTGACCATGTTAAGGATCGTGAGTCTTTACTGGAAGTCTCACTGTTTGGTTCGGCCACCAAGTGAGGAACACCTTGAAAGTTTTTTGAGTTTCCCGCCCGGTGTACACCTGATGCTCTGGGTTTGGCTTATCTGTTCCTGTTCAGGGGGAAAATGACCCGGGGGTACCAGTTGCTTGTGGATTACCTAGCGAGGCACAGGCCCGTTGGTGGGGGGCTTCCAGGGGCTTTTTGGGGTTTCAATTTTTTTCATTGTAATGTGTATTTTTTTAAAAAGCCCCTTTTGTAAATATTAACCCTTGAGTATATGGGTTTTTGGTTAAAATGCTTTTCTAAAAAATTCTGCAATCTGTTGTAAAAAACGTAAGTGAAGATATTTGGTTTCAGGAAAAAAATGTAGCATTTCTGTAGTCTTGTTTACCGCCTTCAGACTTAAGCATATACTTTTTCTAGCCGAAACCCGAGGCCGGCTGCTTTTTTGAGGGCTTCGTCGGAGGTGGGGGTGTTATGGGGCTATAGGGCCCCCAAATGTTTTTTAAGTAACAGTTCCTGGATACTAAATTTATTATTTTATGGGGACTTTTTCTCTAAATGTCGAAAGGACTGTTTAACCTTATGACTGAGAGGCGCTGGGTCAAACCCATTTTTCAATTTTAATAGGTTATACATAGACACATAAACAAACAATTTAAATAAGTGTTTTATAAAGTTTTATTTTTTTTGTAAAAATAAAATTAAGGTGTGGTAGAATTGTGGTAACGGGGAATGGCTTTTGGCAACGTCTTTTGTTTTGGTGGGAGGGCTTGGTGGCTTTTTCTCTCTCTCCCCTCCTGACTCTTCTCTGTGGCTGACCTTCAACCTGGCAGGATTCGGGTCCTTTCCTTCTTTTGGGGGGATCTGTGTGCTCCAGGGGTGAGTTTTTTTAATTTAAGTTTTGGCCACCATACCCGGGGACTAAGTGTTCAAAAAAACTGGTTAGCCCAGAGTTTGTCAAGGGAGGAAAGGAAGAGTGTTGGAACACACCTGGGAGCACAGGATGGAGTGTGTGTTTTTTTTGAAAATGGAGGCTTTTTGATTTTTTATTTGTACAATCTATTGGAATACAGTTATATTTTTTAGTGTTGTTTAATAAACTGTGAAGAGGGGGTGGGAAAAAGGGGAAAGGGCCCTAAAGGGGTTCAGCCCTGAGTAAGATTTCCCCCCGACAAATAAGGCCCTTAAGTAAAAGCTACCCCCAAACCCAGAAATGTAGTGAGAACCTTTTTCAATCAAAGTAATAAGGGGCAAACCCAAGTTTAAAACGCATTTTGTGGCTATTCGCCATGGTCACACTTGCGAAAGGGTTTTGCAAAAATTGTATATATTCTCTGCATTTTTTTTTGTCTTTTTTAGTGCATTTAGGACTTGGTAGTGATCCCTAGTTGAGACAGACGGAGCGACCCGGTTCTAAACCCATGTTGCCCCGGGTTGTTGTAAAAGGTGGGTTTCTAGTGGGTGGTGATTTTCTTCTTAGGACCCTTTCAAAGATTTTTTGATATGGGTGTTAGTGCTTTGGTCTGTAGTTCTTTGCTGGCTTTATGCCCCCTTTGTGGAGTGGGGGTATGTCTGTTGTTTTTAGTAACTGAGGGACGACCCCCCTGCCATGTCCCTTCCATAGGATGGAAAAGGCTCGTGATAGGGGTTCTTCAGTTTTGATGAAACCCCGAGTTCCATGAGTTGGCCCTGGGGGGAGGCATGGGCATGTATTTATCGCCTGTTCGAAGTCATTTGGCGTCAGGATAACATCGGATAGGCTTGTGTTCATCAAATTTTGTGGCTCTCTCATAAAAAATTCATTTTGATCTTCGACTCTCAGTCTGGTTAGCGGCTTGCAAAAAACTGAGTCATATTGGGACTTGAGTAGCTCACTCATTTCCTTGCTGTCATCTGTGTTAGGACCCATCTTGTTTAAGTAGGGGCCCAATACTGGACGTTGTTCTCGATTTTGATTTGGCTAGGAGAAGAAATACTTTGGGTTTCTTTCGATTTCATTTATGACTTTTAGTTCTTCCCGCGATTCCTGACTCCTAAAGGATTCTTTTAGCTTAAGTTCGATGCTTGCTATTTCTCTGACCAGTGTCTCCCTGCGCATTTCAGATATATTGACCTCTTTTAGCCGCTCTGTTATTCTTTTCCGTCGCCTGTAAAGGGAGCGCCTGTCTCTTTCTATTTTACATCTACTCCTCCTTTTTCTTAAGAGGAATAAGCCTTGTGCATACATCGAGTGCCACCGAGTTAATCTGTTCTAGGCATAAGTTTGGGTCTGTGTTGCTTAGTATATCTTCCCAGCTTATATCGGTTAGGACTTGGTTTACTTGGTCCCACTTTATGTTTTTGTTATTGAAGTTGAATTTGGTGAATGCTCCCTCGTGACTTAGTCTCATTTTGTCGGTCTGGGGCTCCACGCATACATGTCTGAACCTCAATTATGTTGTGATCTGAGTATATTGTTTTTGATATGGTGACATTTCTTATCAGATCATCATTGTTAGTGAAGATGAGGTCTAGTGTATTCTCCAGTCTAGTAGGCTCTATTATTTGCTGGTTTAAATTGAATTTTGTGCAGAGATTTAAAAGCTCGTGTGAGTGTGAGTTTTCATCAGAGCTGCCTCCTGGTGTTATTACTGCAACAATATTATTTGCTATATTCCTCCATTTTAGGTGCCTTAAGTTGAAATCCCCCAGGAGCAAGATGTTGGGTGCAGGAGCTGGAAGATTTTCAGACAGTGGTCAATTTTTAACAGCTGTTCCTGGAAATTGCTGGGATGTTGCATCCGGAGGCTTGTAGACTACCACAATGACTAGGTTTTGGTTCTCGACCTTTACTGCTAAAAACTTCCACTTACGTCATTTGAGGCATTAAGCAGTTCTGTGCAAACAAGTGACTCTGCAATGTACAGGCCAACCCCCCCCTTTTGCCTGTTCACTCTGTCACATCTGTATAGGTTGTAACCTGGGATCCATATTTCGTTGTCCAAGTGATCCTTTATGTGGGTCTCAGTGAAAGCCGCGAAACACTGCCTTTGCCTCTGCAAGCAGTCCACGGATGAAAGGTATTTTGTTGTTTGTTGCTGGCTTTAGACCCTGTATATTTGCAAAGAAGAATGTTATCGGACCGTGGTATTGTTGGTACTGGGGGGGGGATATTTTTTTTCCGGCATTAGTATCTGTATCTGTTGGTTTGGAGTGGAGGCCATCGACTGTGGTTCCACTCCAGGAATGACTGGATTTGGTGTACGATTTCTGCCATTTCCTGCCAGTTTTTTTTCCTTCCTGGCACTAAAAAACCTCCCTCTTGAGTGGCTGTGGCTACCCAGGTTTTCCCATGGCCTGGTGTTTTGTATCTTTTTGTCCCCTTTAGATGGTATGCTGGCAATTTAAGTTATAGCACAGTCTTTCCTGTACTGAAGAGGTACACATTTCAGGGTGAAAAAGCTTACAGGAAGGGAGTTTGCATTTTCCTGTTGTCATATGGGCATGGCATTTTCTAGGGTGGTCATAGTTGCATGTCCCATCTGTTTTTCCAGATTTCCCATGCCAGCAGATACCAAGTGCATAGTATGTGCACAGGCTTGGTTTCTGTTTGCCTTGGGTTTCTGTGACTGTATTCCCTGTTGGTGCATGTTTCCCTGTCTTATTCCTATCCTCCCTAGCACCAACAATGGAGCTCCCACCAGTTGTTTTTGGTAATTTATCCTCACTATTGTTATTGGAGTCCTCTTGTTTGCTATTTCCTGCGGTATTTCTAGTTTGCAATACTGGTTTTATCTTATCTTTGACTACACTTGTTTTCCTACTATGGCTCCTGTCCCCTATGAGGTCATTTATATGTATTCCTTCCTGCGTATAATTCCCGACTACCTGGACAAAATCTCCAGCTTCACCATTTACTGTCTCCCAGGACAGTATCTCCAGCTTCACCATTTCTGTCTCCCAGGACAGCACCTCCAGCTTCACCATTACTGTCTCCAGGACAGCACTATCAACCCCACATTTACTGACTACCAGGACATCACCTCCAGCCTTACAGTTTGTGACTACATGGCCAGTATCAAGGGCAGTACCATTCAGCCCAGACTTTTTATGTTCCCATCTGTTGTAGAAAGCTTCCAGGTTTTCTATGAAAGCAGCTTTGATGTTATCCTCTTTAATACCCTTGTGATTTTAGTCCACAGATTTTCCTCATTTGGGCATACCCAAAAACACTTCTCTGTTTTAATACTGCTTGTAGCTGTTCTGGGATATCTGCACAAGGAGCGTGACACCAATTTCCACAAAAATGACAATTTATCCATGTGGAAGCCCGTTTGTTTGACTGACCACAGACTACACACAGCTTCATAATGATTTGAATGGTTGATTTACTGCAATTCTACTAGCAACCTTTTTGAATATTATATTAATAACCTTAAATGAAGCTCTAGCTATTTGTATTTCTGTTTCTAACTCTTTTTGTATATTGGACAGCTTACCGTCACGTTCCTGATTTTTAATGTTTGTGTTTATAAGGGCGCCTACAACCCCATCCGTTTACAGTCTGCTTTATTGTCCAACGAAACTGTTTGAAACCAGTCCCGGGTTCGGACCAGGGAGGTGATAGTAGAGGGATTTGTTCAATAATACTACCTGGAGGTGATAGTACAGGGATTAGTTCAATAATACTACCTGGGAGGTGATAGTACAGGGATTAGTTCAATAATACTATATGGGAGGTGATAGTACAGGGATTAGTTCAGATACCCCACCAAATGACTACCTCACTGGCAACTACCCGAACACACTGTTCCTAGCTCCGACTAACCCATACGAAGTCTCCCTTATTATCAACACGCTAAAAAACAAGGCAGGAGATTTAAATACCTTACCACCCTTTATATACAAAAAAGTGTCACAAGTGCTATCACCAATCATTGCAACACTCTTTAACAAATCCATTGAATCCTCCACCTTCCCTACAGTACTCAAAATAGCAAGGGTCACCCCGATCCACAAAGGAGGAGACCAAACAGAGTTGAATAACTATAGGCCAATATCCAACTTACACCTCTCTCAAAAATCTTCGAAAAATTAATTCATAAATGAATCTACTCCTACCTTATCTCCCAAAACATACTCAACCCCTGCCAATTTGGATTCAGGCCAAATAAAAATACTAACGATGCTATTATACACATGCTAGAACATTATACACTGCAATAGAGAAAAAAGAAGTCCACTGGGGATCTTCATTGACTTACGTAAAGCTTTTGATACAGTTAACCATGACTTGCTCCACGTAAAATTGTCACACTATGGTACAAGAGGGCACTCCCTCAACTACCTCAAGTCATACCTCAGCAACAGAAGCCAATATGTGTATGCAAATGGGGCAAACTCTTCTGCACAACCAATTACAGTTGGTGTCCCAAGGGAAGTGTCCTTGGCCCTCTTCTCTTTCTCCTATACATAAATGACCTTCCAAATGCTTCGCAATTACTCAAACCCACACTATTTGCAGATGACACTACATACGTCTTCTCCCACCCAAGCCCAGTCACGCTAGCCATACTGTAAATACCGAATTACAGAAAATTATCTACCTGGATGAGGACTAACAAACTTACACTAAACATTGACAAAACCTACTTCATTCAGTTTGGTAACAGAGCTACAGATGTCCCTCTTAACATAATGATAAACGGATCACCTATCACAAAGCTAACAGAGGGAAATTCTTAGGAATCCACCTTGATAATAGACTCAAATTTCATACACATTATACAACAAATTTCTAAGAAAATTTCCAAGGACTGTAGGCATACTATCGAAGATACGGTACTATGCTCCACAGTCAGCCTCCTGGCCTATATCACTCTTATTTACCCTATCTCACCTATGGAATTTGTGCATGGGGCTCAACAACAAGTAACCATCTCAGACCACTAATTACCCAACAAAAGGCTGCAGTTAGAATGATAACAAATTCTCACTATAGGCAGCACACTCCACCAATATTCAATACACTAAACTATTCACCATACAAAACATTCATACTTATTACTGCACCTATTACATACATAGAACACTTAACTCTGATATTAACCCTCCCCTCAAACATCTCCTTGCCAACCTCAACAGAACACATGACCATAAACACAAGGCATAGATCACTCTTTGATGTTCCTCGTGTCCATCTCACACTATGCAAAAACTCAATGCACATAAAAGGCCCTAAAATCTGGAATTCATTACCTGTAAATTATAAAAGAAACACTACCTGTTTATAAATTCAAGTCTCTTCTCAAAGATCACTTACTCACCAAAACCAAATAAATACTGAATAACTGAACCTTATAAATTGTATATCTTAAATGTTTCTCACAATTATATCACATAAATGTTAAACCTAAAACCCAATCTAACTTTATTATTTTTTAAATACACTACCTAACAGAATACTCCATTCTACTGAATGTACAACAATGCATACAACCATATGACCTGTCTTTGTAATACTCACTTGTGCTTTATAGTAATCTGTTTACATTAAAGTTTTATCACTGATGTCATCATTGCTTAGTTCATCTTAAGTTAATTTTAAGCCAGCCCGTAATGCTATGCATAGTATAAGTGGCTTTGGCATGCTGCTCTTATCTGTATTTTTTGTACCTCTGTATGTGTGCTCAAATTTTTAAATAAATAAATAAATAAATAAATAGTACAGGGATTAGTTCAATAATACTACCTGGGATGTGATAGTAGAGGGATTAGTTCAATAATACTACCTGGGAGGTGATAGTACAGGGATTAGTTCAATAATACTACCTGGGAGGTGATAGTACAGTGATTAGTTCAATAATACTACCTGGGAGGTGATAGTACAGGGATTAGCTCAATAATACTACCTGGGAGGTGATAGTACAGGGATTAGTTCAATAATACTACCTGTGAGGTGATAGTACAGGGATTAGTTCAATAATACTACCTGGGAGGTGATAGTACAGGGATTAGTTCAATAATACTAACTGGGAGGTGATAGTACAGGGATTAGTTCAATAATATTACCTGGGAGGTGATAGTACAGGGATTAGTTCAATAATACTACCTGGGAGGTGATAGTACAGGGATTAGCTCAATAATACTGCCTGGGAGGTGATAGTACAGGGATTAGTTCAATAATACTACCTGGGAGGTGATAGTACAGGGATTAGCTCAATAATACTACCTGGGAGGTGATAGTACAGGGATTAGTTCAATAATACTACCTGGGAGGTGATAGTACAGGGATTAGTTCAATAATACTACCTGGGAGGTGACAGTACAGGGATTAGTTCAATTTAAAACTACCTGGGAGGTGATAGTACAGGGATTAGTTCAATAATACTACCTGGGAGGTGATAGTACAGGGATTAGTTCAATAATACTACCTGGGAGGTGATAGTACAGGGATTAGTTCAATAATACTAACTGGGAGGTGATAGTACTGGGATTAGTTCAATAATACTACCTGGGAGGTGATAGTAAGAGGGATTAGTTCAATAATACTACCTGGGAGGTGATAGTACAGGGATTAGTTCAATAATACTACCTGGGAGGTGACAGTACAGGGATTAGTTCAATAATACTACCTGGAGGTGATAGTACAGGGATTAGTTCAATAATACTACCTGGGAGGTGATAGTACAGGGATTAGTTCAATAATACTACCTGGGAGGTGATAGTACAGGGATTAGTTCAATAATACTACATGGGAGGTGATAGTACAGGGATTAGTTCAATAATACTACATGGGAGGTGATAGTACAGGGATTAGTTCAATAATACTAACTGGGAGGTGATAGTACAGGGATTAGTTCAATAATACTACCTGGGAGGTGATAGTACAGGGATTAGTTCAATAATACTACCTGGGAGGTGATAGTACAGGGATTAGTTCAATAATACTACCTGGGAGGTGACAGTACAGGGATTAGTTCAATAATACTACCTGGGAGGTGACAGTACAGGGATTAGTTCAATAATACTACCTGGGAGGTGATAGTACAGGGATTAGTTCAATAATACTAACTGGGAGGTGATAGTACAGGGATTAGTTCAATAATACTACCTGGGAGGTGATAGTAAGAGGGATTAGTTCAATAATACTACATGGGAGGTGATAGTAGAGGGATTAGTTCAATAATACTACATGGGAGGTGATAGTACAGGGATTAGTTCAATAATACTACCTGGGAGGTGATAAGTACAGGATTAGTTTAATAATACTACCTGGGAAGGTATAGTACAATATGGTATAATAATTTACACGAAAAATAATATCCG